TACTACTACTACTACTCCTGCTGCTACTACTACTACTACTACTGCTAGAAAGAGAAGACGCTACAACAACAACGACAACCACAACAGCAACAACAACAACAACAACAACAACAACAACAACAACAACAACAAGTACTACTACTACTACTACTACTACTACTTCTACTACTACAAACGCTACTACTGCTACTATTACCACTACCACAGCTTACAACTACCACCAGTACCAACACTGCCGCGACAAGCAGCAATGCACCAAGCGGCCGACCGCCATGTGATTGAACCATAAACACTGTTCGACTGTCGTATTGACACCATAGTCGCATCGTCAGCGACAGAATGATAAGACACATTTGGGAATTCCCTGAGATAAAACAACGTACAACAGTGTTGAGATATGGCTGTGTCGAACTGCTACCAAATGGGAGGCAAGCCTATGGAGGAATACTACCGGCATTTTTTTCGGCCGGTCCTGTTTCATGACCCTGGCAATCCACTCTGAAAGGTGCGCTAGAACAGGGATTCCCGGAGCTTTGCTCCTAGATGACATGGGGGCCTTACTAGCTAAAGTAGGCTGTTGGGGCTATCGTACTATATCCACCCGGTGGAACCCTAAGGCATTCGTTTTTGCAGCTGTTCAGGCCCCTCCGTAAACCCCAGACTTCTGCCGACCAGCTGCAAGCTTCAGCAGCAGGAGTTCAACCGGGAGAAGGTCCTGATGGGTGCTGGTGCTCACTACTCTAGGGGTCGGAATGATGAGCAAGAGTATCCCCTGTAGTATGATGTACCCCACAACCCTTGTCTGCTTGTTGATAAGGCTGGTGTGTGAGGTTTTCTGTTGTCTTGCGCCGCTGGCCTACTCCGTCAGCCCCATCAGGGATCCAACTGTGTACACTTCCGCCCAGTGTATGTGGGCAGAACACAGCTTTGGAGGGCAGGCTGGGTTCTTGGCCGTGCATAGGTTAGCTTGAGGACACACAGGGACTATGAAGATAGATACGCATGCAGCATTTAGGGAGTTTAGGGTTTCCTCGCTCACACTCGGACAATCCAGGCGAGGCAAATGGTTCGAGGTCCGCTGAGAAGTGGAACCAAGCAAGCTGAAGACTGTTAAGGCAAAAGAATCCCCCTAAGAGTACAACCTGCTAATTGAAGTTGAGTTTTCCTGGCATTGAAGTCCACTCTGTCAACAGACTGCACAACTCGGTGGACTTCAATGTCTACGAAAAAGACCACACGAGGGAAAAGGGTGGAGGAGGGTTTAGGGTTCAGGGTTAAGGTTTATAAGAAGCCACCGCGAGCGGCATCGGGACTGGTGAATGATTTGATGCGTGTGACAGAAGACGCTGCCAGCATCTGCAACAAGCAAGACACCTCCGAGAACAAGTAACCTGACATGGACGAACAAAAAGCTCACCAGTTCCGCTGTTCAGGCCCCATCTTCATGGCAGGGGAAACTGCGAATGACCATTCCGGGGCATTCTCAAGTTCACAAGCCCCAAACCCACTGACAACTGTGTCCTGAACTTCATCGATCAGGACTCCACAGAACCTCCGCACTTGCGTTTTTCGGCTCCAGTGCTTGGACCCAGCCCCCCACCCCTCCCCCCCCCACAAACTAAGGCAGCAAGCCCAGAAGAAGGTGCCATGCTGGCCAACATCGCCCTCATCCATGTCTGCCAAAAGCAGCCAACATTCCTCAGTCCTCCATCCAAACGCTCAAAGTTCCGATCACATAAAACCCTAAACTCACACCAAACTATGCTCGAAAACCCTCAGCACCCTTGGAACCTGCAAGGCCGGATCCTGACCTGAGGAATGTCAATTAATTCTTGTTCTACGACCACGACCCTCTACGTGTATTGTGGTGTTCACATCCGCATCTCTTCGACCTTTGAAGACGTGGGAACTCCTTCGAGACGGTCAAGGATCCTAGTAGCCTCAGTGCAAACCAGAAGACAAGCCCTGCACGAATCGTGAGATCCTACCCCTTCTTTGAGGTACCACCTATTCAAACACCCTCCCTCCTCGAAAAAATCGAAGCTGAGCACCTGAGCCCGGCACTTGCGCACCGGATCTTTCATGCCCTCCTTCTCCGCTCTCCGGAGGATGTTGCGGGCAGCATCCGTGCCTGGGGCGGAATTTTTTCAGGATCGCAGGAGAAGAGATGGCACGTCCTCTCCCAAGACGTCCACGACGATTCCTACCATCTTGTGCTGCAGCGAAGGCCATTACACTTGCATACTGGCCTTCGGCCACAGAGGTTTCAGGCTTTGGAAACGGGCTCAGATGGCCTGTCATGCCGAAGAACTTTCTCTGCCCGGAAGGACTGAAGCGAAGGAAACCGGTGGTCTGCTCATTCTGCTTCACCACAGTGACTCAAAGACAGCTGTACCCCTGGCCGCCCAGTACACGGATGTTCACATTCCCAAACTTCCACGACTTCTCTTGATACGGATTCCTGGCAGCCAAGTAGGATGTTCAGATTCCCAAATTTCCACGATTTCTCTAGATGCGGATGCTGTTGCTCCTTGGGATGTATTTCTAACTATTCCGCTCCCTATGATACCGGGACTGTTTCTGCTGCTTTGATCACTGTCGTCACCAATGCATTCAGTTTCTTGGGAAAGAAGCTACTCTTCAAAGTCCAGCACTGTACAGAGCAACCCTAAGCCCCGAAACTTCCTGAACCCGAAGCATGTATTTAGGGGAATGGGCCCTAGAGCTTGAACAGGCTTGGGCCGAGAGTTACGGGCTATCACTATAGGGTTTAGGGTTTAGGGTTTATATGCAATCTGAGTTGAGACAGGATGCAGTCGTAACGGTGCTCGCTCTTCTTCCATGCGCGGTACGCCTTCCAAGTTTTGGCCACGGCTTCTGCTTGAGGATTTGGGAGTTTCCGAAAATACGGACCCGAATACAGTACCCTAAATAATAGGATCCTTATGATAAGGACCCCAAAATAAGGGATCCCCCTTCTTTTCGGAAACTCCCATTTCTCAACTCCACATGACGGCTTCAGTCCTGGTGGTGTTCTAAAACCCAAATACCATCCCATCGAAGATGCGACCGTGGGATATATGCGTAGCTTCAGGAGGACACGTAAAAATGCACAGGCAGAAAACCCATGGGTAACAATCATTGGTACTTACACTATTCTGCGCTTTGGATGCAGTGGCCATTTGCAGACTAATACCTACAGAGCAACCCTCAGACCAAATGCATCGAATCCTTAAGTTGACTGTTCACGGACGCACCTAGCCAGACTGGGTACATGAAAACAAACTTGACCGTCCAGTCACTGGGCCTTGCATACTGTAGGGGCCCTCACAATTTGAATAATTGGGGGGGGAAGGAGAACACTATCCCAGAGGCTCCGTATATGATACCATTATGGAATTAAGTCCCAAAAGACCATACTTATTTATGGCTTTAAGGACCTAATTCCATAATGGTAATGTATATGGAGCCTCTGGTTAAAGTCTAAATACAGCGGGCTACACGGGAAGACTCTTGCCTGTTATTCAGATATATGTATTACACCGGGTATACCGCCCTGTGCATGTCCCCGCCTCGAAGGCACCGTAGATGCGGTTCCGGGTCGCCTGCATGAAGGGGTTCAAGCCCGGTGGCTTCTGGCTTATGGTTTTGGGAAATCAACGGCTGCTACTGTGTTTTTGAACGGCGGATGGCCATTTACACCTTTGAAGGTGCCTTCATTGCAGTATCCCAAAACACAATCGAAAGGCCCGGAAGACAACCCCCTGGAAGCCCTGACATCAAAACCTGAGAACAGTCGACATGAAAGATTTGTCAGTGGTTGTGGGCTCAGGGCTGAAGCTTGACTTAAAGTGCGGTATTTCTCCTATGAGGCCCGAAACTCTGAACAGGCTGCTCTTTGCAACTTATGGCAACAAAGTGGCGGGTTTCGAGAAGGAGCTTGTCAGGAGGAGAGTGGTTGCGATGACGCTGCTACACGTGGCGCTGTTGGTGGTGGTGATGGAGCCGGGGTTTCTTGAAGAGCTAAAGGCTGAGGGCGATGGTGGCGGCTATGGGGATGGAAGTGCTGTTTGAGGAGACGTTTTTGTCGAAAAGGTCCATGGTCCATGGTAATTGATGGCGATGATGACTTGTCGAGTCGGTACTGCGCAACATTCTCCAGTTCCTCAGAACGGCAGCCGTACCCACTACAATGACGCCAAACCCGGACTGCTACATAGTCTCAAGCTCAACACTTTCTGGCAGAGACAACAGGAAGCCTGCCAACAAAAGAACAACCTCCCCGGACGTGGCACCTCCGAGCCACGGTAGGCACTCTCCCGTAGCTCTGGTATGGGCTTGCCCTGCGCGTCTCGGTCGGAGACCTGAGATGGTTCACAAGCTTGACAACTGATAAATTACAGACAACACTACCAATAGCAACACCGACACGACGAAACCCATAATAGTGGCGTTTGTATGACGATGATGATGACGTAGTATTACTACTATAGTACTAGTACTCAATTACTAGGGACAAAAAACCAACAAAACCGTGAGGGGAAAAACGAACTAACGTAATAAACCAAAAGCAAAGAAATATAACACACCAAATAAACATAAGAAACCAAAAACACAAGTAACCATAAACAACAAAGAAACACAAGAAAAAACACACACACAAAGACACATAATCAGGTTCTTCCAGGCACATACTCCTCGCGGCTCAGCGAGCCATCCCTCGAGCGGGCGGCCCGTGGACTACCAGCGATGACCGTAAGGAACTCCCGGTAGGCACCGAAGAGCCTGGAGGGGGCGGATATGAAATAGATGCTGGTAATATGATAATGTGACTTAATGTAACCTAATGTAAGATAATATACTCGAACATAACCTAGCAGAACAGTAGCATACAGTATACTATACTATACTATAGTGTACTATACCGTATATTGTAGCAAATCTATGATATTCGTTTATACAAGCATCGGGGAGGGGGGCCGGCAAAAAGTGGCGAACGAGAACTGCACTGCTCGGGCTTTCGGCTCAGCGGCTGCAGAAGACAACTTCTGAGATTTGGGGTTTACCGCTACCCCTAAATCCTAAACCTTAGACCAACCCTAAACCCCAAACATCGCCACTCAAGCCCTAAACCCGACAATAAACCCTCCGATCCTGGACCATACCAACTCCCACAGCCCGCAAACAAAACTTGTGGAGGCACCCGGTCACCCAAAGAGCCAACCTATTGCGTTCAAGCATTCGGGTATGTGTATGCATACATACAAACATGTCTGTGTATGTAGACGTATGTATACACACACACATATATATATATACACACATACATACAACCTTGTATACATCTATAGATGCGTGCATGCATACGTACATACATACATGTGCATACATTTGGGTACGTACGACTGTTACTTCTATGGTGCTGCGCTCTTCGTTTTCTTTGAACCTGGCAAGTGCCGCACACCAATGTCCGAATAGAGCACTTCACTACAATCACCCGTTCTCTTGCTTGCCAGTGATTTGGGTCGTGAAGAGCTCAGGTTACAGCGAAAAGCAAGGCCGTGCGCTGAAGACACTAGACACGACAAGACACCATCCTCAGTTCTTCAACAACTGCAATTGAATCGATGTGTTTCACCGACAGACAAACAAACACACATCCATGCATGCATGCATACGTACAGGCATACAGACATACATGCAGAAAACATACATACATGCATGCATACATGCATGCATACATGCATGCATACATACACACGTACATCTACACATACATACATACATACATACATACATACATACATACATACATGCATACATACACACGTACATCTACA